AGCACCGAGTACGTGCGGGAGAACCGGCGCTTGCGCTGGCCGGACATCTACGATTGTGAGGAGCGCGCGGAGGCCAGGGGGGCCAGGGACTCACATCGCGGGGGGAGGAGGAAGGAGGGATAGGAATAGGACTAGGAATAGGAATTGCAGCATGATGGTGTCATGACAAGCAAGATGGCCGAGAGCGGGTTGTCTTCTCGGCAGCACTCCGAACCATGGGAACATGACCTCGCCTGATACGATTCAGATACTCTCTCTTGGTATCGTTCAGGGGCTTGTGGCACGACTCTTCAAGATCGCTCCGAAGGTTGTGGGAACCAAGAGAACCGCAAACCAAGAGAACCGCACCTCCCGCATAATCACAGCCATAGTGCGAAGGTACGCTAATTCGTCCGATTCGCTCTCCAAGCCCCCAGCTATGTGCAGCCTGACCCTCTCATGCTTATGTGAGACGACCGAATCGACAGTGATTAAATCGAAGCAGGGCGTGCCCACCACTCTTTATCAGTGGTGAGGGTAGCACTACTAGCACTACAATGACAAAGGATACGTTTGAGGCCGCACTCCCGAAGGGAATGGGGCGTGCGGAAATGTGCACCTACTGACGGATAAAGTGGAGGAGGAGGGGGAGGTGGAGAGGCAAAAATTTGAAAACTTCACTGGCCACAAAAGAGAGTCGGCTATCACGCTCGGCGGCTCTCTCAGCAACCGCGGACTCAAAGGAGGCTATCGGGAGCCGCCTCTGAACAAGCCCAACCTTGGGTTCACAATCGAATGTCCGGGCACGAGTGGGCAGATCGACTCGATGCCGCTCCGCGGCGCCTTCCGCCTTCTGCTAGCGAGTTCGCAACATCATTACTTACCAGCATCTAGTTATCTATCTTCTTTTGGGTGGCCGGCCACCTCGGCGGACAAGTGCGAAAGTACCTGCAGAACGACAAGTTCAGCTGGGCCACGCTCACTGAAGTGGCTGCCGATGTCACTCCGTAGGGCGCCCGGCTTACAAGCACATTCGAGGTCTTGCTGGTGGTGCCAGCCTTTACAGACGGCTTCGTTGTCTGTGACGTAGATTTTGGGCCAATTGATCCTCGAGCAGCCCACTCGAGAGCTCGAAACTCGCCTCAAGGGGGGGACTGCGCGCGGCTCGCCAACGGTCCTGAAAACCTTACTTTCAGTCGTAGCTCTGACAAAATATGAGACGATTGTGAGACCAATTCTGATTCGCCCAAGCACTGGATACCTGCGATCACCAAATCCAGAGGCGTCTCCGCAAAAGAAGGAGTGGCTCAGCAACGGCCCCCGTGCCCAATCTCTTAGGCAACAGTTCATTGTATTGCGCGGTGGTGAGGGTCAAGTGCTCCACGTCTGCTGGTTGTGCACGAGCCGCCGCTGCAGGGATGAGGCCGCGAATCCAAAAACCGGTGTAGCCTGTGGGACATTGTCGCCCGTGGAATTGTATGTTTTGCCACAGTGGCTGGCCATGCAGAGCCAGCCTCTATGCAACATTGTCCCCGTCGCACCGTTGCAATGTTGACAGATGGGGGAATCGCAACGGCCGCAGTCGCACTTACACTGCCGTGTCCAGAAGCCGCCCGTCGAGATGGTGAGCGTCAGTTCCGCGAGCTTGGCGCCATGCGGCAAGTCCCTGAGCCTGGTGAGGAGCGTACGCGGCGAATATTTGTCCGTCCCGTGGTCCAGGCCGCCGCCGCAAAACTCAGAGGAGGTTTGCTGCCACAGCTCGCCCTCCAGCGACACCTTGAAATCGTGTCAGGATTTTGATGGATCCACATTTTTGGGAGCAGCCGCGACGTCGTCTAACATCCAATCCATTTGCTGGTTCAGTGTGACGGCGCCGGGGGGTCCCACCCTGCATTCACTAGGTAGGTGACTATTGCCGAAACTTGACCTCGCACGTGTCTAGATCTGCCCGAGGATGGAAGAGACTTGATGCAATCGATTTGCTTGCCCCATATACGACGTAATCCGTTGCGAATCTCCAGATGGGAAAGCCACAGGCATAGCTACTGCTTGACATACAATGTAGGCGACCTCGCAGCTGGATCTGTCCAACAGCCATGAGATCGAGTGGCGTCGTCAGACGACTCCCACTCGCCAGCGCTGAGAAGCGCCGGCCACGGCGCCGACTGGCCGATGCATTTTGCGCAGCTCGGCCCCCGAGGACGTCGTGCACCTAGCGCGCAATCCGCCGAAACCTGAGGGCCCACGATCATTGCGCGCTTGGTTGCAATATGTCATTTCGATATGGAGCCGTGTCCTCTCAACCGCTAGGTCTAAGCTTTTGCCCTGGCGACCGCGGCAACTCGGGTGGCCCGCGCTGCTCGGCGGCCGTCGCCCAGGTGAACGCCCAAGTGGCTCGCTTGACGCGCCGCCTGCACGTCGATGCCCACCCTCCCCAGCGCGGGCGCGCCGCCGACGTCGAGTCGGACGCAGGGCCGCGCGGCGCGAAGCTCTCCGAGACAAGATCGAGCTGCTGCTCGCAAAGCTCGCCTCGCACCACAGCGAGCCCGCCCACTGGCGCCTCCGTCGCAGCCGCGCTGGAACCCCGCTGCCCGAGGCAAAGGTCGTCGACCCTGATCCCGCGGCTGGGGTGGCCCGTGCCGTAGAGAGAGCCCAGATGACGCAGCGCGCGAGGCATCGGCCGAATCGAACTCCGCCTCGCCTTCCTTGCGCCGTGCTTCCCGCAGCTTGGAACGGCCGCGAGCGCGCCGAAGGCCCCGCCGGTCGCGACCGAGCGGCGGCGCGGCCCCCCCCCAGCTCGGCGCGCCCATCCGTCGCGGATCTCGCGGCCCCAGTGCTGCGTTCGCATGGCGGTGCCTCCGCCACTTCGGCGCGCCGCTCGCGAGCTTCGCGGCCATGCAGAAAGCCCCGCCGAAGGGCCCACGGGCTTCGTTCGCATGGCGCCGCCGCCCCCTATTCCGACGCTTTGATCCCCGATCGGCAGCTCCGCCGGGTGCTTCATCGGCTGCGCTCGCGCGGCGGCGCCGCCCCCAGACCCCTCGCGCGCTCCGCGGCCCCGAAGGGAGCTCCACCGCAGGCCGCGGGCCCCAGGGGCTGCGTTCGCGCGGCGGCGCCGCCCCCGCGTCGGCGCCCCTCCACGCGCGCCGCGTGGCCCTGTGGGGGGCCCCGCCGAAGGCGATGTTCGCAATTGCGTTCTCGCGACCGCGTGCGATTTGATTGTTGCTCGGGCAACATGCTGGATTCTTTTGGTTTTTCAAGCATTTGCCGCAGGGCCCCCCAGGATTGGGGGGATTCCTGGAGGGGGGGTTCAGCAGGGGCGGTCGAGGATCCTGAAGAGACCCATGAGTGAGTTCCTCAGGACCCATCACGATCCCCGAGGGATTCCTGACAAGAGACAACCTTCTGGAATCCAGAGGATCCCCGATGATCTTCGGCAATGGCATTCGGTTTCGCGGGAGAGGTTCGGGAATATTTCAGGCACCGTCGAGGGCCCCCTGGGGGCGCCTAGAGGCCCAGCAGGATTCCGCAACGAGGCGCCTGCATGGATCGTCCGGTTTAGTCAGAGAGCCCCCAGATTCCTCTGGGCCCCCCCCAGGGGTTCTCAGGGATCGGGGGGGGGGGGTCGTCGGGATTCCGTGGGAGTGCTCAAGGATTGGCACGGGCCCATGAGATATTCTTTTGTTCTTTAAAAATTTCGAAGCATCCCGGCGTTCTTCGCGGACGCCCGGGCACGTCCAGGAAATGGCATCGGGGCGCCCGTGATCGCGCGCCAGAGCCCTTGGGGGCACGGGTCGTAGGTAGAGGGCGCTCGCGCAGCGCGCCCCAGGACCCAGCGTCGCAGGCCCGGGGGGCTCGCGTCGCAGCTCCCGGGGCGCGGCGCCGCGGCTTCCAGGGGCTCTCGCATTAGGCTCCAAGAGTGACCCTCAAGCCGAAGACGCATTCTGGACATCATGGGGCGCGCTCGTCTGGAAAGTTCCTCGCGAGATCCCCGGCAATCGCCTGCCGGCCCTCGTCGCTGTTCTTCTTTCTTCTTCCCCATCGCCCCGTGACCGGCTGCCCATGCCGAGCTGGAACTAGACGACATGGCGAACGGCAGATTTTCTGACGCGGGCAACATTCCCTCGCAAGTCGCCGCCGTGGACTTTCCATCGCGAACGCGCAAGCTGCAATGCTGGGCATTCCATAGCACTGCTCTGTCCAAGAAATGATAAGGAATGCTTAGCGCGTCTACTTGGAATCGGGGCCGATCATCTCGCAGCCTCGGGGCCCTAGGCCGACCGCCCCGAAGGCGCGAGGCCCTGGGCCCCCGCCGCGTCGCCCGCGGAGTCTGGGGAGGCCGCTGGGGGGCCCATCCCCGCCGGCGGCCAGCCTGGGGCGCCAGCGGGCTCGGCGCGCCTGGCTCTGGCGCCGTTCGCCAACATCGCAAGGCGCGGCGGCCCCATCTGGCGAGGATAGGGCTGCGTGTGCTAGCGGTGCCGCGCCTAGTCGGCCAAGTTTCCGTCGGCCACATCAGGAGCCCATTGTGTCTAGCATCGTCCCTGAGGCTACCCGTGAGCATGCGCGACGCCACCACTTGGTCACCGCGGCCCCTCTCGCGCGCTGAATCAGTTGTGGCGGGCCAGCGTCCACCAGGCAATCCCCCGCGTTAGTGGCGGCCTGCGGGGGGCCAGTCGATCGGGGCGCTCGCCGTCTCCGCGCCGCGGCCTTCAGAAATTCCGAGGTTGGGCGCCGCCCGCGAGCGGGCGTTTTCCCGGGCGAAGATGCGCCCCGAGGCTGGGGCAGTCGCGTTTTAAGTTTGTGTGATCTTCCAGTTTTGGCAGGCTGCGGACCCCATCAGATCTGCGCCCCCCCTCCCCCCCCGCCCCCCCTCTTCGGACAGCCTGGGGGGTGGCCAACTGGAAGGGCCAGCGCGGCCTCCGCTGGCCCCCCGCGGGCCGCCGCAGACCGCCGCGCCCTTGCCTTTGCAAGCCCGCAGACCCCAGCGGGGGCACTTGGCATTTGCGCGGGCCGCCCCGCGCATCGATGAAATCAGATCGCGGGGCGCAGCGCGCGCCGCGGGGGGAAATTCCACGGCGCGCGTTGCGCCCCGCAGG